GCATATCCATGTGCCGTAGTTGGGGTGCTGCTGCACGTGCGCACGTGCAGGGGTCTATTCCAGATCTCGAGAACAGCTGGACCGATGGCGCTCAAATTTGGTATATGGCTAGGGACCGGTTAGTAGGGTGCCGTGCAAAAGTCAGTTGGGACCCATTTTGCACGTGCGCACGTGCAGGGTGCCGCTTCCAGATCTCGAGAACGGCTGGGCCGATTGTGCTCAAATTTGGCACATCGCTAGAGACCGGTTAGTAGGGTGCCGTGCACAAGTCAGCTGGAGGTACCCCCTCGAAATTTCGCACGTGCAAGGCTCACCCTCTCGCTCGCTCCGTTTGTCGCCCCAAAAGGCGTTATACTGGTAGAGTAACGACGTACGGGAATGAGTTATCAGCTGTCTAATCGTAGACAACACAATGTCGAACTTAAACTGTAACCCTGTATTGGTATTGGGTCATTCCACGTCAAATCGAACAAAAATCGGCTGTTTTGCACCTCACCATCAGCAATTTCATTATAAATTTGTGAGCGAGTTCCTGTGTGGCGCCGGACATTACATTGATGTTTTTTGAACATTCTGACCACAGGTCTTCTAAATATAGGGCATCAAATTTTTACAAAATGTTGCATCTTTATATTTTTGAACGACCATAACTTTGGTTGTACTTGTTTGATTTTAATGAAATAAACCTTACTGTTTAGGTAATTTCTTAAGCATTTGTTTAGAATTGCACCTACTTAAATATATGACCTTGAAATTTGCTTAACTCTGTTCTTAAGCACAAATATTGAAATAGCAAAAAACACGTCACCTTCGATTTGGCTCATTTTCATATATTTTATTGCCTACCATATTCTTAACAACCTGTGAAAAAATTAGAGTGGGCCATTCATAAGTTTTGAAGAAAATTGCACATATGCAAACGTATGTTAGCACGCGCAATGGAGGGGGAAGAGCGAATTTCGCCCACCCCTCCTGTTTTTCGCCAATATCTCATAAGATTAATGCGAAATTAATTATAGCTACCTGTCAAGAATTGAATTGGACATCTCATCGTGCAAGCAATAAGAAAATCGGTTCACAACTGTTCTAGTAAGAGCGGTGTAAAGTGAACATCCTGTCGCCGCAGCGACGCGGCGACTCGGCAGCCGGCGCCGACCGCTACGCGCCGCCTGAATTGTAGACTGTGCCGGGACGGAACGGAACGGTTCCGTCTTTACATCGCGCTCCCTACCGCTGATTACGTTCGATTCGCGTCAAATTTTGTGAGAAGACTAAGAAATGTACAGGCAATCTTATGGTGAAAGAACTTTGAAAATCGGTTGGTAAACAATTGAAATATGAACGTGTAAACACAAAATTGTGATTGCTGCGTTTACCGCATCGGCCGAGCCCGCCTCCAGTCGGGGACATGTTACCCTTAGCAGGCCTCTAACTGCCATATTTATTATTGGATTAACTAGAAATTCCCCATTCATACTAAAAAATGTATGTTCTTTCGTATAGTGAAGATCAAAAGACGTGAAGATATCGTTGCGTGATAATGTTTTCGTTGAATTTACTTCATGATGTATTTCCACACGGCTCAAAATTCACCGCAAAATACCGTTTGCCTGAGACACTTTTACTATGGAACGTGAATGCTTGACTACGATGACTATGCATTTCCATTCTCGCAGAGTTTGGGATATCACTAATCAGCAATCATTCATTTCAGAAAGTGTACACAAGCAAGCATGCCTTGACTCTGTCTTTCAAGGTCACGCGCGGTTGCGTGATGTTGATGCATGAAAACGGCGTTTGCCGCGAAAGTTATGAATGGCCCACTCCAATTTTTTCACAGATGGTGAGGAACATTGTGACGGACATAATATGTAAAAATTACCCAAATCGAAGGTGACGTGTTTTTTGCTATTTAAATTTTTGTTTTAATTCAAGGTCAAATGCATTTCAAGGTCAGTTCAATTTAATTTTATAATTAAAAATCAAAGCCTTATCAATTGCCTATAAGACCCTGTTAATATCATTTTGATACCAGAAAAGGAACCAGAGTTATAGCCATTTAAAAAATTGATGTGTGGCATTTTTCGCTATATTCGATGACCTATATCTCAGCGATACGTTATCAAATTTCGAAAATATTATACGTAACTCAGTTTTGAACCATGCCCAGTCTGCCTACAAATTTTCAGAAAAATCGAAGGGGATGACGGATTTCGGTGTTTGATTTGACGTGGAATGCCCCTATTGTTTCTTTAATTTGGCTGTCGAACATTAATTTATGGTTTGAAATGTGATTTTATGTAAAATAATTGATATGAAACAGCCGTCTCTTAATATGACCCCATTTCACCACACGCAAGTGGCAGAAATGACAATGATCAGCTGACGCATTTTTCTTGACCGAAGTCAGAGCGCGCGGCCCGACGCGCCACGCGTATTTGGAAATTCCAACCTCGACGAGCATCAGAAGCCACCTAACAGCCCGTAACAGGCGTGTTCAAAACCGCAGGAGATGATGATGAACGGGTTTATCGAAACTTGATTGGATGAGCCTATCGGTAACAGGTAATAGCGATTTTAGTGCGTGCATTTATTGTTCATAATGGTGTGAAATGTGGTTGGGGTACGACCGACAACCCGTCGGGGCGAATTTCGCACTGGGGTACTCAAAATTTGAAGAATTTAAGACGTTTCCATGAGTTTTGAACTTTGAAGGTATGGATAAGTTCTAAAAATCCGGTTCTCCTTATCCGGGTCATTAACTTCATATGGTCAAAGAAAATTGGCACACTACCTTTTACCTGCACCTTATCGACAAAAGCTGCGCAGAACATACGGAATGCCACGAATGCGAGTGAGTCGTAACAGCAAAAAAGAGGCAATGTCATTCAATGCCGGATGTTGCGACCACCGAGTCTTACTGAGGTTTCTCTTTTCTCAGGTCTTGCACTGACAGACATGTATAAATATTAACCGTGTGTGCCTGAACTGACAAGCTGGCATGATGAGATGGCATGCTGAGACTGCTATGCTGAGACTGGCATGAACTGGGAGCGGAAACTTCGGTAACGCTTTACTTTGCATATGATCTACTTTTTCATATGTTTGCTTATCATTGGTTGTTGCCATCTTCATTTTTCTCTTTGTCTGTCAATGGTCATCGCTCATTAACTTCTGTGTCATTGACTGTGTTATGTGCTGTCTCTGCTTGCAGAAACCCCACTTTGCTGCATGCGCGCAAGGCTGTGTTTTGTGCCATTCCTTCTGTTTCTATCTTTTTCCTTTGTTTGCCTTTCAATGTATCCTTCCCTTTACGTCTTTCATTTTTGTGTACAATAAAGCGTTCAACGTACAGAAGCATGTGGGAGTACAAAGACCGCTACAGTTTCGAAGTCCGTGTTGGACATTGAAGTCTCATACCTACAAGGATCGGCTCATCTCTCTGCTGCTCAGTCTGTTGAATCTCATTGTACAAAATGGATGTCAAGTCGCTGAAAGGCGCCAGGGCTAAGAAGCTGGGAAACCTGACCAGGATCAGGAGACGTGCCTTCATCATCATCGATGCAAAGGGAAGCCGCACCCAGCTAAGTGAACTATTGAAGGATCTGGATCAGGCCTTGGAGGCAATTCAGGAGGTGAATGAGCAGTATGTGTCATTGCTGACAGAAGACGTGGAGCTCGAATCAGCTGCAGTGTACATGAAGGATGTAGAGAAACAATATGAGGACGCTGTTAGCAGAATCGAAGAGCATTTGATCAGCCGGAAGGACGAGGCACCATCTGTGGCATCTGGCAGCCATGTCTCCAATTCCAAGTCCACGGCATCTGACAGAGCCAGGATTGCGGCAAAGGTAAAGCGTCTTGAAGCTGAGCAACTTGGACAACGGCTGGAGTTGCAAAAGCAAGAACAGGAAATACAGAGGAAACTTCAGCTACAGACGGCAGAGGACGCCAGAGCAGCTGCTGAACTCGAGGCCCAGCTTCTGTGCGCCGCAGAGACTGGGGATGATCTTAACAGGGATCGGATGGATGACTTTGTAGGAGAACCCGCGGCTCAGCTTCCCACTGACTGTCCTGGGCTGGATCGTGGCTCTGCTGTGGAACCTGCGACACTGGGTTCAGACCTCCCCCATTGTCTCAATGTACCACGTGATCGTTCTGAACGTCCCCATCCTGATCAGTGTCCTGTTACAGCTGGTGTAGCTGACGCTGCTGTGACCAGTGCTGGTGTCAATGTACCCACTCGGAATGGGAATGAGCTTACCACTGATGGAGCCAACCAGCATCCAGGTACTTCTCAACTACAAACCCGTGGTGTTTCAGAACCACTGCTTCACTGTGCCCTTCCCCGACTCACACTTCCGAAGTTTGATGGTAATCCGGGAGAGTGGGTGAAGTGGTTTGCGCTCTTTCGCACCCTGGTACATGATCAGGAGATGCTGACGCCCACTGAAAAGATGATTCATCTTCAGTCTGCAGTAACCGGATTGGCGCAACAGACCATAAAGGGGCTGCTGTATGATGGGAATTTGTACGGTGAGGCGATCAAGATGCTCCAGGAAAGATTCGGCAGACAGGAGGACATTGTGAGCTCAACTCTGGAGAAGGTGTTTGCATGTCCCTCTCCTTCTCTGCAGGACCCGATCAGCCTAGAAAGATTCCAGTCCACAATCCATTGCGCCATAGCTGTGTTTGAAAGTATGAAATACGATGGGGACCTGAACAGTTTTGAGAATCTGAGGCGTGTCGTGCAAAAGCTGCCTTCAGATCTCATGAAAAGGTGGAGTGAACATGTTCTGAGTCTCGAGCCTGCAAGACCCAGTCTTCTGCACCTGGATTCCTGGTTGCGCAGGCAAGTCAGGATAGCCCTGAACTATGCTGCTGTCTCCAAACAGCCTGGCAGGCAGCCAACAGGAAGGAGTACCAACGAGGGGAGGAAACAAGGAGGCGCCATGGAACGGACAGTCCAGTGAACGGCACTGGTGACGGAGGCTCAGCACATGGCGGGCAAGGTCTGCATCTGCTGTGAAGCTCTCCATGACGTAACAACCTGTCCCACGTTCCTCAGCAAGCCTGTGGACGAGAAAGCCATCCTTGTCTCCAAGTCCGGAGCATGCTTCTTCTGCCTGAGGAAAGGTCATGCAGTCAGACATTGTCGTTTTGCAAAACGATGTAGCATCGAGGGTTGCAAGATGAAGCATCACAGGCTGCTGCATGGCAGCAAGAGGGTCGGAGTTCAGTCCAGTAGCCAGGTGCCAGGCTCTGAGCTGGACGGACAGCGAGTGGTTGCTGCCGCATCTCTGGGAGGCAAGCCTGTAACAACTCTCCTGCAGGTGGTGCAGGTCACTATTGTCGGCAAAGGTGGTAAGACCAGGAAGGTGTGTGCGCTCCTTGATCCTGGCTCTCAGACGTCCCTGGTTGCAGAGGATGTTGTTGAAGAACTTGGTCTGGAGGGAGAGCAGCAGACACTTCGGCTGCGAAACGTGGAAGGCAGTGGCTCCCAGCAGAGGACGAGGAGGTTGCAGTTGCAGCTGATCACTGACGGAGATGAAGGCTACGCAGTTGTAGTGCCGGAAGCCTTCTCAGTGAAGGAAATCAATCTGACGGTGCCTCACTTCCCAGTGAAGCACTGGCATCATGTCCAGGGCCTGAAGCTACCGGACTGCCGTGGACGGAAGGTAGAGCTCCTCTTAGGGGCTAACGTCATCGAGGCAGTTCTCCAGCTGGAGGTGAGGACAGGAAACCCAGGGGATCCTGTAGCAATCAGGACTGTCTTCGGTTGGACGCTCACCGGATCTGTCGCTGAGCTTGTTCCCAGACAGGTGCGAGATGTGATGTTGATTCATCGGGCCACTGAGGAATCAGATCTTTGTGATGCTGTGAAGGATTTCTGGGCTACTGAGTCGTTCGGCAGTATGTTTGAAGGGCAAGTGTCTCGTTCACGTGATGACATCCGAGCGCAGGCTACTCTCAACGAGATGACTAAGCTGCGAGATGGTCACTATGAGGTCGGATTGCTGTGGAAGGAAGACGGCGTGAAGATGCCTGACAACAGGAAGATGGCCGAGAGAAGACTGCAATCGTTGGAGAGGAGCCTGTCTCGTGACCCAGCAAAAGCTGCCGCTTATGAAGACGTTCTGATGGGCTATGTGACGAAGAACTACGCCCGCAAAGTGTCACGGGAGGAGCTGGCCAGGCCCAGCGAAAGGAGATGGCTGCTCCCCCATCACGCGGTAAGCAACCCGAACAAGTCGAAAGTCCGCGTAGTGTTCGACGCCGCTGCCCGCTGTGAAGGAATCTCCCTCAACGATGCCCTCATCACCGGCCCTGATCTCCTGCAAAGTCTGGTTGGTGTTCTGATCAGGTTCAGACAGGAGAGAGTGGCGCTCGTGGCCGATGTGGAAGCAATGTTCCACCAAGTGCGGGTGAGAGTGGAGGACCAGCCGGCGCTGAGCTTCTTGTGGCGGCACATGGATAGGAGCAGACCTCCAGATACATATCAAATGATGGTCGTCATATTTGGCGCCCGATGTAGCCCGACCCTGGCCAACTACGCTCTACGAAGAACGGCGGAGGACCACGAGGAGGACACAGATGAGTCGAGAGCCACTGTTGAATCTGTCAAGCGCAACTTCTACATGGATGACCTGCTCGTTTCGGTTCCAGATGTAGAACAGGCGAGGAAGATGCGTACGAACGTGACTGAGCTGGTGGCCAAGGGCGGTTTCCGTTTGACGAAGTGGACCACGAACAAACCAGAAGCTCTCCAAGGTGTCCCAGCTGATGAAATGAGTGCATCCGGGCTCGACTTGGCGCATCTCGGCCAGGGCACCCAGCGTGCACTAGGATGCGTCTGGAGGCCTGGTAGCGATGTTCTCGGCGTGAAGGTAACAGACATGGACGTCCCAGCTACCAAGCGTGGCGTTCTAAGAAGACTGTCTATGGTCTTCGACCCTATTGGAATCGTCTCTCCGTTTGTTCTCAGGGCCAAGCTGCTCGTCCAGCACCTCTGGAAGCTGAAGCTCGACTGGGACTGCCAGCTGAGCGGAGAAGAACTCCTGGCTTGGGAGAACTGGTTGTCGGAGATGCCTCATCTCGAGACCATCGAGATCCAGCGATGCTACGCGGCTGATGTTCCGCCGGATGGTGAAGTCACAGGTCGAGAGCTACACATCTTTTGTGACGCATCCCAAAAGGCCTTTGGTGCAGTCGCATACCTCAGGATGTCATGTGCCGACGGCACGAACACCACCTCCTTCATCATGTCACGGACTCGTCTCGCTCCCTTGAAGCAATTGACAATTGTTCGCCTTGAGCTGCAGGCTGCTGTGTTGGGGGTGAGGCTGGCCAACTTCGTCAAAGGAGAGCTCACGTGCAGTCTCGATGAAATCTTCCTGTGGACCGACAGCTCTGTGGTGCTGCGGTTCTTAAGAAACGAAAGTCGTCGGTTCCACACTTTCGTCGCCAACAGGATCGCAGAAATACAAGATTCATCAGAGACTGAGCAGTGGCACCATGTTCCCGGTGAGCTCAATCCAGCAGACGTTTGCTCTCGCGGGATGTCAGGCCCGGACCTCCAGACATGCTCACTGTGGTGGTCGGGCCCCGAGTTCTTGACCAAGGATCGTGAAGAATGGCCTCCGGAACGCGTCACGTCAACGCAAAGTGCAGAAGACGCAGAAATGAAGACTCCAAATGAAGCAGTATTTGCAGCACAGAGCAGCGAGGGGCCACTGGTGGATCCTTCCCGGTACTCATCGTGGGTGAAGTATAAGCGCACGGTGGCTTGGGTGCTGCGATTCTGCGAGAACGCCAGGCGGAGTAAAGACAGCCGTGTAAGTGGAGCTCTTACGTCGGCTGAGGTCCAGTCAACTGAGGTTTTCGTCCTCAGAGAGCTCCAACGGGCGGCGTACCATGCCGAACTGCAAGCTGTCGCCAGTGGATCTCGGCTGCCGAAGGACAGCACGCTTCTCCATCTCTCCCCGTATGTCGACGAGCGGGGACTGCTCCGAGCGAGGGGACGTCTCCGTAATGCCCCACTGGCTGAGACCTGTCGTCATCCTCTCCTCATCAGTAGGAACGATGACGTGATCAGACTGATCGTCACCGATGTCCACAGACGGGCACTGCACGCAGGTCTGGAGCAGACGCTCAGTGAACTGCGGCTTCACTACTGGATACCCAAGGCAAGATCAGTAACAAGAAAGCTCATCTACAACTGTGCGTACTGCAGGAGGAGAAGTGCGCAGCCCCCGACTCCAATGATGGCGGACCTACCGGCGAGTCGGTTTGACATGTCTCGACCGTTTGCATGTGTTGGCCTTGACTACTGTGGCCCACTCCCCGTTCGGAAGTTCCGCAAGACCGAAAAGCGCTATGTGCTGCTCATCACCTGCCTGGCGACGCGTGCATTGCACTTGGAGCTTGTGAGCTCAATGGATACAGATGGGTTCCTCATGGCCCTCCGGCGCTTCTTTGCCCGCCGGGGGCGTCCGCGTGTCATTTGGTCAGATAATGGCACGAATCTGGTCGCAGGTGAAAAGGAGCTCAGGAGTTGTCTGGATGCGTGGAATCAGGCACAGATCACCGACGAACTTAGTCAGCGACACATCGAGTGGCGTTTTAACCCTCCCACCGCCAGCCACATGGGCGGTGTTTGGGAGAGGTTGGTGGCGATGGTCAAACGCGCTTTGCGAGTGGTGTTGGGCAACCAGTGTGTCAGTGAGGACGTACTGCACACCGCGCTGGTGGAAGTAGAATTCACCATCAACAGTCGCCCACTCACTTACGTGAGTTCGGACATCAATGACCCTGAGCCTCTCACGCCCAACCATTTCGTTCTGGGTAGCCCTCAGGCTGCCTTTCCTCCAGGGATGTTCACTGATGGTGATGCGTTGGGTCGAGGGAAATGGCGGCAATCCCAGGTTCTGGCCAACCAGCTCTGGCGCCGCTGGCAGCGTGAATACCTGCCCATGCTCATCCAGAGGAAGAAATGGGTTCATGAAGATCGCGATCTGCAAGTTGGAGATATCGTGCTCATGGTCGAGCAGGGGTCACCACGAGGATACTGGCCGCTGGCCAAGGTCACGGAAGTTTCTCCGGGAGATGATGGTCGTGTCCGGACTGTGACAGTGCAGACCTCCAGCGGATCTACCTATCGACGACCAGCGAACAAGATATGCTTTTTAGAAAGCTGCGTTCAGGGAAGAAACTGAGCAAACGGCCGTGAAAGCGAGGATGAAAGTCAAGAAGAGTGAAAGTTCTGTTGCTAGGCGCTGTTTATCCTAGCCCTATTCAAGTACCGTCCTGCCCCCTGTCTTACCTGTTAAACAGTACCTCATCCATTGGCACTTACACGATGCGCCCAGCGTACTGCTCGATGCTCGACCTGGAGAAGCCTCGGGCTGCTGACGTACTGCATGGCCGCGTCCTGGAGCTGAGGGGTGGCGGCGTGCTGCGCTGGACCTGTGATCGGCTGTGTGCTCGGGACTGGTTCCGAGACCTGGCCCGCCACCGACGGGGTCTCCCGAGCTCTGGCCGCTGAGCGGAGGATGCGAGGCTGGGGAGAGGCGACGTCTGCCTGGCGCGGACGACTGCGTGAGCTGCTCGGGCGAACGCTGAGTGGAGAGGTGTAGCGGATGATGGACTCTATAGTTTTGCGCACGGTTTCGGCGTTACGGTTCGCCGGCGCGGTGCGTCTGTACGATATCTGAGTGACTGGCCGGAGAACGGGCAGGTGACAGTGCATGGAGGCTGAGTGCTGGATGCTGAAGCTGCTGTGCGATATCTGCTTTTCTCTGAAATGTGCAGTGCTTGACGCGTGCGTTCGTGCGTATTTTGAGTTAATGTGTCTAGCGTAAGTTTTCGGCGGTCATTGAGCTGAACGCTGAATAATCAACGATGGTCGCTCCAGTTAGTGTTCTCCTCAGGCCTAGGATAAGCACTGGGGGGAGTGTTGCGACCACCGAGTCTTACTGAGGTTTCTCTTTTCTCAGGTCTTGCACTGACAGACATGTATAAATATTAACCGTGTGTGCCTGAACTGACAAGCTGGCATGATGAGATGGCATGCTGAGACTGCTATGCTGAGACTGGCATGAACTGGGAGCGGAAACTTCGGTAACGCTTTACTTTGCATATGATCTACTTTTTCATATGTTTGCTTATCATTGGTTGTTGCCATCTTCATTTTTCTCTTTGTCTGTCAATGGTCATCGCTCATTAACTTCTGTGTCATTGACTGTGTTATGTGCTGTCTCTGCTTGCAGAAACCCCACTTTGCTGCATGCGCGCAAGGCTGTGTTTTGTGCCATTCCTTCTGTTTCTATCTTTTTCCTTTGTTTGCCTTTCAATGTATCCTTCCCTTTACGTCTTTCATTTTTGTGTACAATAAAGCGTTCAACGTACAGAAGCATGTGGGAGTACAAAGACCGCTACACCGGATACTCTTCACAAATTACAGCGCTACGACGCTGTACCAAACATCAACACTCCTTACCTCCTATGTAGAGGCGGCTACTTAAAAACACAACCACTGAATCATCCTGTGTAAATACAAACAAACCAGATGTGACGCGCGTAGCCACGACGCTCACGAACGAGAACCACATCTGTAACCCTAATACCAAACATACAACGGCGGCCGGCCATGCACTTGTTGATGTTACTTGACACGACTCAACACTGCATTTCGTCAATGAAATCATTTATCCATCGGTCATACCTACCTGTGTAATAATCAAAACTGTGTACTACCGAAAAGTGGCTTACTGTGTGTGTGTCAAACAACCGAGCCAGCAATGCGCCCGTTCATTGTGTGGGTTCGTATGTGTCTGGTGAGATGTGCCCGTTGAGGGAACAGAGCCTGGCAATGTGAGCAGCCGTACGGCCGCTCCCCCGTGTGGGTCCGCATGTGTTCGTTGAGATATGCCCGTTGAGCGAACCGTGCCGCACAGGTTGAGCAGCCGTACGGCCGCTCCCCTGTGTGAGTCCGCATGTGTCTGGTAAGGTGTGACCGGTCTGTGAACAGTGCCTTGCAGATAGAGCAGCCGTAGGGCCGCTCCCCAGTGTGGGTACGCATGTGTCTAGTGAGGGTAGACCGTTCAGTGAACCGTGCCGTGCAGATGGAGCAGCCGTAAGGACGCTCCCCAGTGTGAGTCCGCATGTGGTTGTTGAGGTTTGACCGAACAGCGAACCGTGCCGTGCAGATGGAGCAGCCGTACGACCGTTCCCCCGTGTGGGTACGCATGTGTTTTGTGAGGGTAGACCGTGCAGGGAACCGTGCCGTGCAGATGGAGCAGCCGTGCGGCCGTTCCCCCGTGTGGGTACGGATGTGTTTTGTGAGGGTAGACCGTTCAGTGAACCGTGCCGTGCAGATGGATCAGCCGTACGGCCGCTCCCCAGTGTGAGTCCGCATGTGGTTGTTGAGTTTTGACCGCGTAGTGAACCGTGCAGTGCAGATGGAGCAGCCGTGTGGCCGCTCCCCCGTGTGGGTTCGCATGTGGGTGTTGAGAGTTGATCGTCGAGTGAACCGCTCCATACAGATGGAGCAGCCGTACGGCTGCACTCCAGTGTGAGTCAGCATGTGTGCCGTGAGGTGTGACCGTTGAGTGAACCGTGCCGTACAGATATCACAGCGGTGCGGCCGTTCCCCAGCGTGAGTCCTTTGGTGGTGTTTCATGTTTGTGAACCTGTCGGTCGAGTATTGACACTGCTCGCACTTGAATCTCCCGTTCTTCCCGATGCGACTGTGACTTTTCTTCACGTGACCGTCCAGATTTTGTTGTCCCAGACATCGGAAGCCGCAGTGGGGACACTGGAACGAGCCACTGATACCTGAAGAATACACAAGAAGAAGAAAGGCCATTAAAAACGTTCCATGCCAAACAGGTCGCACATACACTGGAACATCTCGACGCCCAGAGGTGACCCACGCAGCGGGTCACGTTTCCAGATCACCTTGGTGAGCGCCGTGGACGGCAGCGGCAATGTTGACCTGACAAGCCATCAGCGCCCATGAGTTGATCTATTTATCGCTAGAAACACAGCCTTCAGAAACGGAGCGCTGAGCTCGTATGGAATGCAAAGCTCCCTTGGCGTTTTTCTACTCGCGCACAGATAGGACTTAGAGCCAACTTATCTATGAAAAAGGCCTGTTTACCAACGCCAAGGAATATATTTTTTTAAATGTTAGCCACCAAGAGCCGATAAAACGCAATCAGTTATTTATCTGAGCAATGCCTGTTCGGGTGGAGTAGATGCCTACACTTCTCGTAGTAGTTCCCACCACGAACTAGGTCAAAGGGGCCCTCCCACCTTCAAAAAAGTTAATGAATTGGCATGAAGGTGATGTCGCTCGGTTCAGAAAGAGCAAAAACGAATATTTACCAAAGTTCACCGATAAAAATATTCACCGGTTTTCAAGATATTTACTTACTTTTACATTTGTTTACTTTTTGGGATCTCCGCTGTTCCTAGCGACTTTATTTGAAAGTGCGTCACTTATTGCGGGCAAAGCAGCATACCTATACCACCGCGTGCTACCAAACGTTTTAGTAAGATTTGAAATCGTTGGATTTTCGCTGACGTCACACATTCAGAGGGGGCATTCTAACGCTTTAGCCCCTTTGAATCCAAAGTGCTGCAACTTTGAAATTAGATATTTTCGATTTGAGGCATTTATCGATGTTGTGAATGCTTGAACCAGTAGGTGAGTGCAGGCCAGAGACCCCATTTTGGCTATCTCAACTCAAAACTAATGTTAAGGTGGGATGGTAGCTTGAAATACCTACATACATGATGGAAAGGGTAGTAGCGATCATTTTCTTTATTACCTAATACGCGTTCATTCGGCCATGACAATATTTGAACTTGAAAATGTACATAAACAAAACACTGCGGCACAGTAGTGGGTAGGTATTGATCCATACACATATGTCCAGATGAAAACTCAGTAGCTACATTTTTCTATCTAGCAATACTACTTTTATTTCACCCTTTAGCGGCACATAACCCGCCAGAGGCGACAAGACCAGAAACATCCAGTCACGCTTGTAGATACAGACAGCACATATCTAGAGTAGCAGCGCTTATACAGGATCTTAAGACATGCAGCATTTAAAGTAAACGACATTCCAACATACGTTTGACCCGCAACTTGTCCACAAAAGTGCGCAGATAATACGAAATACTGCGAATACGAGAGGGAGCCGAAGCCAAAAATGAAGCATTATCTAACTCCGAAACTACTGGGCCGATCGTCAAAATTCAAACGGCGTCTGATAGCCCGGGAAAAACTGTCAATCGAAACCTAATTTTATTGACTTCGCCGATGACGTCACAGGCCAGGTCAAAGTAAAAATTAGGTATTAGCATTTTTGCTTCTTCACATTTTGGGCTCTGGACGCCGCCTTACAAGTCATATCAGGCTCATTTTTGGTTTACACACTCGTGAACATTGAACAGATGCTCTAGATATCCTGAGGGTACCAAACTTGTACTTTGATTTTCAGGTCAGGGTCAGGTCATCACAGGTCACGGAAATATTGTATAATGCGTCGGTCACGTGACACATGTTTAATGGTCCATTCAGGCCATAGATTTCGAATTTGATGTCGTCTGTGTTATTCGAGGTCATCTTGAGTCGAATTTGCTTAAGTCAGGTCACTTTCAGGTCAAAAAAGGTCAAATTTTGACGTTAAAATTTTTCAACAAAAAAGGTGTCTATTGGATGTAGTTTGAGCTCAGGAAAACGATGGTGCAATTTATATTGGTGCACGATGTCAACTGCGTACTGAAAAATTGATTTGAAAAATTCATGTGTTTTTTTTTTGCAATAATGCGTATATCTTGGCCAGTTTGGAAGATAATTAGCTAAAACTTGCTAGAGTTAGTCAAAAGATGCGTTCAATCACATATGTTCCGTTTTTCTCGAAAAATCGAAAACATTTTGAAAAAATATAGAAATATAAATTTTGAATTTTATCAAATGAAATTTTCGAAATTTTCGAAATTTTGAAAATCCAAAATAGCAGTTTGATAGCGCATTCTATTCTGAGTCCTTTCATGCAAAGAAACTGGATCTAGCTTAAAAACTGAGCTCGTGGGAGCGATTGCCGTGCTTCAATGTTTTGCGTCGAAATCGGCCGAACATGACATCACTCTGACGTCATTTCCTGCCGACCTATGGTAGCTACGAAGTTCATATTTTGACACAAGGTGTCAAATTGATGCAGCCGAAGGTACTGTAAGTTTGGCGTCGATACGTCAAGCGGTTTGGAAGTTATTGCAGAAAAACGGGAGGAGGGCTATGTATAGCCCCCCCCCCCCCCAGTGGGGCGCGGGTTAAGGCGGCTTGTTTAAAACACAACCACTGAATCACACTGGATGAGAACAAACACCAGATATGACATGGGTAGCCCCGAAGCTCACAAACGAGAATCACAGCTATAACACCAATAACTAACGTACAACGGCGGCCGGCCATGCATTTGTCAACACGTTGCAGCATTGCATTTCGCTAATCAAAGCATTTACCACATCAAACCTGTTTAATTCTCAAAACTGTGTACCACTTAAAACCGACTTTTGTGAGTCAAACTGCCGAACCGTTAGACAGAAGTGGCAGCAGTGCGGTTGCACTTCGCATGGGTACGCATGTGTTTGGTGAGATGTGCCCGTTGAGTGAAACGGGCCTGGCAGTGTGAGCAGTCGTACGGCCGCTCCCCCGTGTGAGTCCGCATGTGTTTGATGAGACTTCCTCGTCGAGCGAACCGTGCGGGCAGATGGAGCAGCCGTTCACTCACCTGTTCACCAGACATGTGCTTGGATCCGAGAGCTGGATCTATGATCTCAGTGGATCTCTCGACAAAATAGAGGGGTTGGATCTATGATCCGAGTGGATCTCTCGACAAAATTCAGGGGTTGGATCTATGATCCGAATGGATCTCTCGACAAAATTTAGGGGTCGGATCTATGATCTCTGTGGATCCAGCGGGCAAAAATTTGTGGAGGACCTATGATCTGTATGGATCTCACGACAACATGTAGCCAATGAAACCCTTATCCTACATAATTGTACACCTTACAGTGCAATACAATTGAGAATTATCACTTGTGGACATGGTTATTGGTTAAGACCACTTGTAATCATTAGGTATCATCATTAAATTTGAATTTAAATAAACAACATTTGTACTACATTTAAAATAAACCAAGAACATGCATATTGCTACTTTTTGTGACCAATTGTAACTTTTTCATTTCAGCACTGATGACAATCTTATCAACAAGCTACAGCCACTTTAATTCAATGAACAAACAGTGCAGACAGATGCAGTGGCAGCAGGGCACTGCAGATTTTCATTTCGGTCCCATTCTTTCCATGCAACGCCAGTAGGGCTAATGT